GATGATGAAAGCTGCGTTAGATTACATAGTTTAGTAGTTATAATCACCTAGTTATTGTTTATTTCAGTTTGAGAACATATATAAACATTTAAATTATATTTTTTTTGAAATTTTTGGTACTTAAATACTTGGATTATTTTTGGATGGTGGTTTAGCCTGTGCATTCGGTTATGTGAGAACCGAGTGTGGCAGTAACACCCATTGAATCTTTTGCTTCCGCTGCAATTGAAACCGTTTTGAACTTAAATGTTTTGGGAAATTCTTTCTACATCTGCGGTAGTTAGCACCAATTTCGGGTATAAATTTGGGGGTGTTACAATTTACTTTGCCATTTAGAAAATGTTAACAATTTTAATCTATATTTATTCAGACCAAAAGTTTTAATATAGAAACCCGCTGTTATAGATCATGCACTGAATAATTGGTCAAATTGATATAGTTTTATAATAGACGTGCTTATATGATACTTTTTTAGTACATGAGCTTAAGTGATGATTGAAAATAGTAAAAATGCGTACTACCTTATTTAACTCTTTACCCAAGCTAAAATTAACCACTAGACCTGTGTGTACGATATATTTCGTAGGGTTGAGCAAGAACTAGAATGCAACCCAGAACCTCACCCAAACTTACATAAGTTGAATCGTTCAAATAATATATATCGGATTTAATTCTCGGATGGACATCAGGTTTATTAGAAAAATGCTTAATCCAGCTGGAGACTTAGGACCTGTTTACTAACAGAGATATTTTCCAGTTTTATGGAAAACTGGAAAACTGGAAAAACGAAAACAGAAAACGTGTTTACCAAAGAAAATTGCTGGAAAACTGGAAAAAGGAAAACAGAGAAATGTGTTTACCAAATCGTTTTCTAAAACCAAAAAAATGAGATATGTCTCTGTTTTCTTTGATGAATTGGAGAAGTGACTTTTACGCGGATGATGCAGTGCCGCTGTAATGAATTTGCATACCTACACCTAGTGTTGGATATGGTCCCGCTCCGGTGTCAATTCTAGTCCGGTCCGGCTAGCGAGTCGATGGTCCCTATCTGGTTCGGTCAATGACCCAGCGGTCCGGTCATTGACCCGGCGATCCCTGTTTGGTCCGATCTACTACCACATGGTTCCTGTTCAGTTCGGTCAGCGGCCGGGCAATCCCGGTCCGATATGGTTTGGTCAATGACTCTGCAGCCCCCGTCCGATCCGATCAACTACCTGATGGTCTCTATCGTGTCCGGACGTCCGGTCAACCACTTAGCAATCCCTTCTTATTCGATCAATGATTCGGTTGTCCCTGTCGTGTCCGGTCAATGACCCGATGGTCTTTTTTGGTCCGATCGACAATCGGGCGGTCCCATGCCAGTCTCGTTAATGACTCGACGGTCCTTGTCCGGGCCGGTCAATGACCTGGCGGTTTGGTCTCGGTTTTTTGAAATCATTTTTAAAGTGAAGAGTTTTAAAAGAGTCGTTGAATTGTCGACCAATAGAGAAATGAGAAAAGAATTCGTCAAACTAACCATTGAGATCGATCGGGTCAAACCGGTTTCGATCCCGACTTTCCTATACGTGGGCCCTTGTACCTTACTTGGGTTGTCCTAGGTTCGGTTCCGGATTGGTACCGTACTTTCGGTTTTCTGGTCGGTCACAGAATCGGGTGGAAAAAATTTACGAACATGTTTTCAGATTTGAAAAATGGAAAATTAAAAAATGAAAACAAAAAATTGGAGATAGAAAAACAGGTAAAAATGAAAACAGAAAATTTGAGAACGGAAAACAAAAATAAAAAACTGAAAAATATCCCTATTAATAAACAGATCCTTAACTTTTGAAGTTTGAACATGTCAACATGCTATCAATTGAATTAGAATATTAAGTATAGCCGGGTTGATTACTAAAAAAAGTAAAAAGCATTCACAATTCGTTTCAATGTAATGTAATAAATAAGTAGTAGTGTAGTACGATATCATTCCATATGCGGACGAATTGAACATTGAGCATTTGAGTCGGTTTATGGGACGGGGGAAGACCGATATATTTATGGAATTTTCTTTTTTGACATATCAATGATATATTACTTGAGTCATTGATCACATTTTCGTAAACAATCTTTATTTTAGTCATTATATGCAATTATTTTTTTTCTTTTTTATATGACTTCTCCCCTTTAAACTTTGTCATCTTTGAAACTTTACCCATTTATATTTTTTAATATAAATTTATGAGTTTTATAATCCCTCTGTCCCGCTCAACATTGCACACTTTCAATTGAATATAGAATAAGAATAGTACAAATTGTATCGTTGGTATTTGTGCAGAGGAGAGTGAATAAAGAGAACCACAAATTTATTACTTTAAAAGGAAGGTGGTAAAAGTTTTAGGACAAAAAAATAGAAAGTATGCAAAGTCCAATGAGACGGATAGAGTAATATTATATTAATCAAAATCATAGTATACACTTTATGGGATGACAAAGAGCTCATTTGGTAACTCTGTTTTTCGGCTTATCAGACTTATCATAACAAACCTCTTCATCAAACACATAACTATTGATTTCACGCGCTAAGTTGTGTAATAATAAGAAAAGGTAAGGTTGAAGTTACATTTTTGGATGTATTCGTTGGAGTTACCGTAAACTATCACTTTAATTATTTTTCATGTTTATTTTATTATGTTATTAATAAAATATATTTTAAATATAATTTTTTCATAAAGCAGGAGAATCGGACAATCCAACAACTTTAGACAAAACTTCATAAATTTCAGCAAAATCAGTCGATTCAGCCGATTTCAATGTTACCAAACGGGTTCAAAATTTTAAAAGACGGGTATATCACATGATTTTGTACACATCCATATTGTGTGTGTGGGCAAACAAATTCATTGAAATGTCAAATAAAATATCGCGTATATGGTAAAAAAATTGAGTGATAACTGATAAGGCTAAAAATTGAAGGCGCCAAACGGACTTTCATAATAATAGTAATATTATTATTAATGATAGTAATAGTAGTAATAATAATAATAATAATAATAATAATAATAATAATAATAATAATAAGGGAAAAGTATTGAAAATGTACTTGTGGTTGGACCCGTTTCCAGATAGAGTCATGTGTTTCATTCTTTATCAAAGTAGTTCATGTGTTTGAATTCCGTTATCACAAGAGGGTCACATCATTAAAAACGTCTGAAAAAGACCGTTAAAAGTAAATCCGATTTTCAAAAGTGCCCGAAAATAGAATATTAGAACAAACATTATTCATATAAATAAATATAACTTTAAAATTTATCTCATAGTTAATTCTTTTTATATTTAAAATATTAAGCTCAAAATTTATACTCCATATATGTTTATACATATGCATTTACTTAAAAAATAATTAGATATTTATGACTAAAATAAAACTATTTTAAAGAAGAAATAATTCCAAATATATAACCAAGATAAAAGTAGTGGATAAAAATATGACCCTAGTAGCTTTAGTGACTATAAAACTTACATATAGTAACTTATAGTCACAGTTTTGTCCATAATTTTTTTAATAACATTTTAGCAAAAATCTCTTTGAAAATGAAAACTCTTAAAATGTACTAGTATTGATTATAGTAGTAACTTTAGTTATAAAATATATGTTCATTTTACACGTAAATAATCGTATATGACACTATACTCACAGTAACGAGTTTTTTTACGAAAAAAGAGTACGTACTGTTCGATCTTACTTTCCAACTGAGGATATTTAGACAAAAATATTTTTATTTGGCAAATATGTTTACAAGTACCCTTAATTGTAAAATTAAAAATCAAGAATACATTTCCTCGGATCCGGAAAAAACTATCATAATAACTTTAGTCATAGTTTTGTAAAATTTACAAAAGTAGAATACTAAAAAAGAATAAAGACTAACAAGAAGAAGCCATGAAAATTCTTCAATTCGTTTGTTGCTTTTGGAAAATCAGCTTGGTGAGAATAGTTTCACTTCTTCGAAAATAAGTGTTGGGGGGACTCTTGTTTTTAATTGGGGACACTTCCACTTTTTATACTAAAATACTACATATCTTTAATATATTAACGTTAAAAGCCCAAATTTTGTCGTGCCCCATTGAAATACAAGTACATCTGCACCTGAATGTGGCATACTAACATCTTAAATTTGATATATTGTGACATTTTTTTGCACCTATTACAACATTTTGCATAGCTACAAAAGCTATACTTTGTTACGGTGCATTAGACTTGGGTGTACGATATGTTTGGTAGGTTGACCATGAACTAGAATGCAACCCATTCTTTCCGAACTTGACCCAAACTTATGCTACGTACTTAGTAGTAGTATAAGTTATAGTACTACGTTGAGTCGTGTTCAAATAACATCGGATTGAGTTATGGGCTAGATATCAGGTTTATTGGAAAATGCTCAATCTAATCGGAGACTTGAACTTTTGAATATACTTCAAAAAAAAAAACCACAACTAAACATGCCATCCCTTGAACTAGAATACGACTCCCTCCATCGCAGTTTGATGGTCCTGTTGCGGTTTACGAGGTTTGACTGACGATACAACAAATAAATATCTGTCCGCACTTAAGTTATTTGTAGCAAATAAAATTTACATATTCAAAAACTACATTAAAAATTTTACAAAGTCGCAAAAACCTGAATCCAATTTGATAAAAATTTGATATAAAAAGTAAGTGATTAAGAGTGATTTGTGTTGATCAAATAAATATGAACAGGACCATCAAACTTTACGAGATTATAATGTTTTAAGGGACATATGTAGACATTGGGTAATTTTGTGCACATTTTGGTACACGTCCCTATTCTGTATATGTCTACAAATCCATTAAAATGCAAAAAATTTGAAAGGTTGGCGTGTGCACAAACAATTTTGAACGTGTACACCTGCGTGTACAAGAAGAATCATATGAGTAAAAAATCATTTCTTAATGCAGAAAAGGTTCAACAAATGAAAAAGAAAAAACATCCGCAAAAGAGAAGCTCATCATATAATCATATTATTATACACTTTAGACGATGGTGGTAGTGGCTGCTTAGCTTGAGCGCGAGCTGCTGCAAAATAATAATAAACAAAAAGAATGGTTAGTCCGACGTTATGATTACCTCATCCAGCCATTGCCGCTCTTCTGTGTTGAGCTCTGCCATTTGAACATCAAAATCCTGCTGCGGGAAAACACTTTCCTCTATTATCATCTCATCCAAAAACCCATCACTACTACTGAAACCAAGATTATCCCCAGACTTTAAATTAGCGAAACAATGGCTGAAATCATCAAAGGTCATATGAAGCGCCGCCTGTTCTTCACTGATGCAGCTCTGATACGCTGCTTCCCCTGAAACCTCCTCGAATCCTAAGCTGCTCAAGTCATTCCAGTCCCTGGCTTTTTCCTCCAAGTCATCAAGAAAGGCCAGCGCTTGGCTCACGCCACCTGGCACCAGCAGCGGCATTGGGTCATCAATCCCAGTATTCTCTTTGCCATTGGCCGCCGCCTGCAGTTGCGGCGGCGGCGGGGGCAGGGTTGCGTCTAGGACAGAGGACGGGGAGGCTGAAAAGGTTGGATCTTTGCACTTTTCTGAAGTGAGAAGGCTTTCGATTTCAGCCTTGCGGGTGGCGTAAGCAATGGCAGCTTCTTCGGCACTGTCGAAAGTGCCCAGCCATTTTCTCTTCCCCTTAATGGGGTCTCTAATCTCAGCCGCGAATCTCCCCCATGGCCTCCGCCTGACGCCTTTCGGCAAAGGCCGTTCTTCTTGAACTGAATGTTTTTCAGGCTGTTCTTGATGACGTGGGGCGATTGGAATGATCACTTCCTTAACTACGCGCTTAATCCGGTTGTGGGTATATAAATCGTCATCTTCCTCATCAGAATCTGTCGCATCAGGATCATCGTACATAATCTTAACCTTTCTCACCGAACCGAAATCATATTTTCCAGAATTCCCATTCAAAGCTCTGTTACTCGACTTCATACTGAATCTGTTTGAAATTTCAAAATCCCCCAACGGGTCGGAGACCCCTTCAGCAATAAACTTACTAAACCCCTCTTCTTAAACCCCTTTTCTTAAACCTCTTCAAATCATATGAAAACCAGACACTCTTTCGATCAGGGATTGAAGATGCTTCCCCAGTGTTTGTGAAACAGGTTCAAGAATATTCTCAAATGCATCCCCAAACTGGCAAAACACTAGAATCACAAACCTGGGTACAAAAAGTTGGGCACTAAAACAATTCAAGAACATACGATCATCACTCGAAAAGTTGGGGAATAAAACAATTCAAATCTATTGAGCTAATTTTTTTTTAATAAAAATCGTTCCTTTTCCCATCTTTCAATACATTGGACTTGAACAATAGACAGATCGTACATACCTTCTTTAATCTTTATGAGTAAGTACACCGGTCTGGCTTTGAAGAAGAGAATGGATGAACAAGAAAGGGAGAGATTTGTTTTATTGGGAACGGGAAAGAAGAGTTCTGATCCCACTAGACTTCTAATATGGAAAGGAGCCAACGCAGGGGGTGAATTCGCGTAGGATATAGAGAATTTAGAAAATATCTAAATTGATCTTATTTCCTAAAATGTTCCATGAAAAATCGTAAAATAAGGCTATATTTTTGTTATTCCGGTGGGGGGAGAATTCATCCCACTGGTTCCACTTACGACTAATGGCGGGAAACTATTGTGAAAAGTAGGAGTGATCATAAAATTTGAACAAACGCCTCAGTGAAACCAACCTGCAATGGTATCAAATTGAATATTGAGTATTTAATGGGAAAAGAATCAAATAAGTTCTTCTATTATTAAGGAATTGTCAAATAAGTTTATATACTCAATAAAATGTCATATAATACGTCTACTTATCAATCATATGAGTCAAAATGACTCGTTGACAACATCCTAGAGGTCGTTAAGGAACACTGTTTTTTGGCTTATCATGCTTATCAGCCAACTTTTTCACCAAACACGTAAATTTTGCCGCTGAATTGTGTCATAAGCAGAAAAAGTAAAGTTGAAGTTACTTCTCTAGCTGTATTGGCTGAAGTTACTATAGATGATCATTTTAGCTATTTTTACATATAATTTTTTATTTATTTTATTAATAAAATATATTTTAAAATTATTTTTTTCTTAAATCAGTAGAATCAACCTATGCGGCCACTTCAGCGAGAACTTAATAAATTTCAACAGAATCAGCCAAATCATCCGATTTCCGTGCTACCAAACGGGCTGTTAATATCAATTTAGCTTACGTATCGTTATTTTTGCATTGTATTTAAATTTGTACTCCCACAGTGCAACTATGAATTACAACTAATATTCAATCGAGAATAATGATGACTTTTTTATTATATTCAACAATGTGATGATATTTGTTATATGTTTTCACGTGAATTAAATGAAAATGATCTAGTGTGATTTAGAACAAATATTCAACCTTAATTGTATTGCATTATTTGTTTATTTACAAAATTTAAAGACAAAAATGTATGCCTCTTGAATCTTTTCTAGCATTTCGCATGTTTTTTCTTTTATTTTATCAACATTTCATGTGAATTTGTCGGTGCCATGGGAACTATTAATTGCAAGATTTTTTTCTAAAATGGTTCTAACTTTAGAATCGGATTGTACTAAACCTTTAAAAATCTCAAAGGTACATTGTGATTTTTTCTAACTTAGTCGGGCCGTTTCGGACCACATCTATGCTTGGTGAAAAGTGAGCTCCGAAATGCGATTTCACCCTAGGTCCTTTAAGAAATCTTGATTGTCACCGTAGAGTCGAGTCGCGTGTATTAGTTATGCATCACAAATGGGATTAGATGCATCTACAACTCAACAAATCTGGAAAGATCTTGAGGTAGTGGTGTGACGAGTGCCAGGGAGAGAGAAGTTGGTCATAAGAGGCGACCTCAACGAGCGTGGGCTCAAGTCATGGTGGTTTTGATAATATTTATGGTGGACATGGTTTTGGCACTAGAAATGAAGCGGAAAAGAACATCTTGAATTTTGCCTCAAGTATGAGTTGGCTATAATTAATACTTGGTTCAAGAAAAAGAGATTATTACCTTGTGAGCTATAGAATTGGAGCTAATAGTACCCAAATTGAATACTTCTTAGTATGGACTACTTGGATAGCTAGCTACACTGATTGTAAGGTTACTCCATGTGAGAGTCTTGTCACTCAGCACAGGGTGCTTAGCTTGTTCTTGATTTTTGAGGTAAGATAAAGTGGTGGAGACTTGAGAGAGAACTCCAACAAAGCTTTACACGCAAAATGTTTGATGAAGATGTATTGTGTATTAATAATGAAGGACATTTGGATGATGTGGGTTATCAAAGAACTTTACCATTAACATATAAAGTGGCAAAGGAGGTACCTGAAGAACCTAAAAGATGTCTGACACAAAAAAGGACACGTCTTGATGGAATGATGATGTCAAACAAGTCATAAGAAACAAACTAAATATGTGTGTAAGTCAAACGAGAAGCTTCATTTCGGGACGTAAGAAGTATTACGCTAGAACGGGTCAGTTTAGACAAAACTCCTCCCTTTGTCCCATTTTACATGAGATACTTCTCCCTTCGGGACGTAAGGGGACAAAACTAAATATATGTGTAAGGCCCAAATAGGGGACAAAACCCCACAATTCCCTTTCGGGACGTAAGAAGTATTACGCTAGAACGGAGCAGATTATTACTAGGGCCCATAAACTTCTCAATTATATATACATAAGTTTTTTTAAATATATTTACATTCTATTATTTATTATAAAATAAAATATAATGAAACTTATAGTTTTTTCTATACTTTCAATTCTTTATTCAACAACATCTACAAGCTACAAGACTAAAATTTTGTAACATCCACACCATAATTCCTTGGAAACAAACTTCATCATTTCTTTGGATTCAGTAAGGGTTAACCGCTCATAAAAATTGGGCATTATAAGACTAAAACATACACGATAGTTTCCCAGGATACGGTGGCTACGGATAACCGTATGAGCACACAATCTGTTGTTCTGGCGAACGGAAACAAAATGTGAACAACTAAGGATATTTTAGAGAGCTGGGGTGTTTTTAGCTGAGAAAGTAAGTGCAAAGTGTGTTAAGTGAGCTTCACTTGACCTGAACTTTGGACATAAATGACCAGAACGTCGGGCATTAATATGTCGAAAATTGTACATCTAAAGACGCATTAAAGGAGAACAATGTTGGGTAATAACTGTTGTAACATTTCCAAGCAGTTCTTATGCGGAGCAGAATAGTTTTGGTCCGAGCAGTTCTTATGCAGAGCAGAGGCGTTCTGTCCAAGTAGTTCTGATGCGGAGCAGAGGCGGTTCTGTTCGAGCAGTTCTGATGCGGTTCTATCCGTTCGAGCAGTGAAAATCCCTTGCATGAAGAGCACCTTTCCAACTATGAATTCTAACTCCTTCAAAGAGGGTCACCTTTATAACGGGTGAAAATCCCTTGGGTTTATCGGTGTGGGATAAATCATACTAGAAATCCATCATTTTCCCAGTTTTTTTCATTTGAATGAGTGAACTTCAAAAATCAATTTTTCATTCACCCGTTATCCGTTTTGAGTGTAACACATATCAAATTGAAGCTTTTAACAAGGAGAATCTGAAACCACTTTGATCCGACCCAGATCGGAAGTGGACCTCACTCAAAATACTGTCCGAAATTGATCATTTGATACAATTTTAACACAAATTTCCAACATCAAGTTTTGTCAGGTAGAAACTAGCACGAAAAATATGAATACTGTTTTTCAACTGGAATATGAGAGTAGTTTGTGATACTTAAGAGTTAAGATCAGATATTAAAATGGAGTTGAATAGAAGAAGCATATACCTGAATTTAATGTAATTTAAACCTACATTGGATACAGTCACAACATTGATCGAAACTTTACCATTTATTTTTGTAGTAATAATAAGGATAAGTACAAAAAAGATATTTATGGTTGTGCGCATTTTTAAATTAGGACATGGAGTTCATTTTTTTACAAGTAACACATGTGCTTTCAATTTGAGAGTTTCCGTCTGAACTACGTCAAGTACATGTTGGCGAAGAAGTCACGCCAAAATAAAATCCTAATTTTCTTTAAATTTGTTATGACTTTTTATTTGTATTCCTATTTTTACAAAAAGAAAAAAAAATATTTAAATTCATAATTTTTTTATCTTACATATGATATCAATATTGCATATGGATATAATAAAAAATAAGAAAATTCAATTGTTGAAGATTTTCAGACCCAAGTGCTAAAAATTCAGATTTTTCACATGTTTCAATTTTTTTTATTAAAATTAGATTTGAAGTAAGAACAAAGAATTAATCTCCAAATTTATTTATTTATTTTTACATCCGTATGTTTGACTTTTTGATCATAATTATTCACAAAAAATGATGTATAATAATAGTAAGGCTTTAGTTAAAAAAATTGTTAGGTTAATATATTGATTGACAATGGTGAATCCTAGAAAAAAATGAAATGACAGAATGAATACATATAAACTTAGTGATTTGATTTATTCACAGGTTAAGATTAGGCAATCTTAGCTATGAATGCCCGCCCTGACCGCTCGCTTATCTCCGCTATAGATGGCAACCCCATGCCTGTACGCTAACCAGGTATATACATATAGACATACGCGTATAAATGGACTAAACAGACTCTTAATTAATTATCTCAATTAGTCTGTTGCCTGCTAATAAATTTTTGAAATACTTGTTTCACATTGGATCAGTATAACATTATGAACAATTATTTAAGATTCAGAACCTTTTAAAATGGAACTCGGGTCCATAATGATCCGTCCCATAAAACTTTACCATATTTTCTTTTTGGGACGTCCCAAAAATTTTTGTGACTTTCCCTTTTAATCAATTACTCTGTGATTTATGTTATTTCTCTCCCTCTACTGCACAAATCTCAACCACACGGTTTTTATTTTATTATTCTACGTGCTGATCAAATTTGACAAATTTTTAAGGAACGAAGGTACTATGTAATTAAGAGTTTGTTTAGTCCATATGTACCGTATTCCTTTTCTTTCCGTTTTCCTTAATTTCCAAAAAGTAAACCGTGTATTAATCTAATAGAATGTGCTATCTTTCATTTTTTATTTGTATAACTAAATTGTTTGATAATATTTCGCCACTTCTTTACGTTGAAATGGTAGTGGTATGGATGTAGTACTTTTTATAAATTCAATAAAATAAAGTAAAACTTTGAAATGGAGTGACGATTAATAAAGTAGTAATAATAACTCAAAAGTGTAGAACAGGGAATATAAAATGACATTTTTCGGAAAGGATTTGATTTATCGACGGAGAAATTTATTGATGAAGACGGTTGCAATTAGCCTTTGTGTCTTGTTAAAAGGGTTCATTTCAGCTGTCCCGTTTTCATCACACTTTGGGCAATGCTAGATCTCTTTTACCACTTGTTAAAAGAGCATTAGTATGCGTGACACGAGTCAAGAATCGGCAATGTCTTAGCTATACAATATACACTAAAACTACAGAAGTAAAACAACACCTAAACTAGGCTTCTTCTGATTCAAATCAGTGTTTAGAGGCTTGCCCATCTATACACAAGTTGCAAGTACAGAAAAAGATGGCTACTGGACTACTTAGCAACCAGTATGTTACACAGCAGGCAGTTGCGCCAAATACAGAAGAAAACCTCAGCTAACAATGGGCCAAGTGTTGGGACACAACAGGTACTTCATCTCTCTTAGAGGTCCTGGAAGAACTCCGAAGGTATTGACGAAGGGCAAAACTTCTTTGCTGCAAATTTATACTGTTTACAGAAGAAGCAAAATCATTTTTGATAGTTAGAATCCAATCAATCCAGCAGCACATGTTAATACTTCATTCATACTAGTAGTGCATATACCTTATGCTGGCTGTATTTTTCTCTAACAGCTGGTAAACTAGAATGGTGGCTATTGCAGCAAAAGCTGTGGAGTGCCATCACACATTCACGTAAATGGGATGGCTGGTACAAAGTGTAATGCCGCATCGTAGTGTTCTGCAATTTTTTTTATTTTAAATTCATATTCAGAATAGATTCCAAACGCCAAATATATACATTATGATATTGACTGATGATAGAAAACACAAACTTACCCATGGTTTCTTCGAAGGGCAAAGCATGAATCTGGCAAGAAAAATTGCTGAAGCAGCAACAAGTGACGGTGCATAAGAAAGCATGTCATATTCGAGGAGAGAGAGCTCTGCAAGGTAGCTGGCCAAGTGGTCCAACTGCAGTGACAAGACCTGAAGTGGAAAATTGCTGGTTACTCCCTCATTCAAATTTTAAAAAAATGCCACTTTTTATTGAGATGAAAAAATGTAAAAAATGCTACTTTTTGTTGGGACAAAAGAATAGGAGGTCAAAAGTTTTCAAAAAAGAACACCATGTCAAAGTGCTTATTTTTCAGAAATTCTTTGGCTACATTATTCAAATATTGCACCATTTCTAATTATTTGCAAGTTTTAAACACAAACTATTTTGCCTCAGTATGTTCTTACATTTCTTTCCCCTACCCCACCGTAGGTGGGAGCCTTTGCGGCACCGGGGTAATGATGAATAATGATGAAAATGTTCTTACATTTCTTTATAATATACGGAGTTATAACTAGCGGTTGGAAGAACAGATTACAGGATAGTAAGAAACTGGAGGAAGTACCTCATTGAATCCTTGAGTGGCACGGACAAACCTCCTGTAATTTGATTTAAACATTTAATTGATTTAGTCCAACAAATATATAATATTCATGTATTTATTACTCTGTAATGTGAGACAGACATTCATTTACCTCAAAAAGCACTTTGTCGTTGGGGCTGTCATTTCAAATTTCAAGTAATTCAAAACTGCAGACTCCATTTGCAACACCTACACATCAAAGAGTTAAAAAGTTCTTATTAGTACCACACTACCACCTCAAGAGAGAAAAAGAGACATAGAAAGAGGAGAACAAAAAAAAATCACACACACCTCCTCCTTGAAATATGTGTTATCAGTGATGTAGCAGAACTCTTCTACCTGAGGTGCGCATATCTCCTCATATTTTCTGCAAAATAAAAAATGTGGTGTGATTATATTATTGATAATACTCCTACTATATTCTGCAAGATTCGTTCTTCGTGCCTATACACGCCATTTTTACACTTCGCCCAGACAATTCCGTACACTTAAAAACTGCTTTCTTTACTAATTGCCTATGTACAAACAAAACTGCTTTTTTTTTACGAATTGCCTATTTGTTGGCGCGTACAAAAACGTCTACAAATGGCGTGTAGAAACAGATTTTTCCATTCTACAAATATAAGAGAGGGAAGCTTACGATGCAATCATCATGCAAGCCACGCCCAACAATTGCAACCGTTGCCTATCCATTACATTGCCAGAAAGATAGCGATCAATGTAATTCACAGTCAGATATAAGGTATCTGGCACAAGCCTGTACTCCTCAGCAACCTGTGGATGGTTTTAAAAATATTAATGAATAAAAATTCATAACTTTATGCTCACACACAATTATAGTTGAGGGGTTAGGAAAAATTATATTACCTCAACCAGCCAATCAATCAGAATTGCTCGCATGCTGGCATTTATGTCTTTCTGAACCTTTTCCATGAAATCTGAAGACGGCCGTTTCTTCAACTGATTGATTATGAAACAAAAAAATTAGCATTTTGATCTCAGAATTGATGAAGCCAGGAACCAAACAACTAATTAATCTCATAATTACCAAGTGCAAAAAGGTTTACGTGAATGTGTAATGTGTGGACCATTTTTCTTTAGAAAAGGCACATTAAAAAGAGGAAAAGAGGGTTGGTTGGGGTTTCAAACCTCAGACGCTCGCAAGTGCTTGTAGATATCACAGGCGATGGATGCACAGAGTTGAGGGTCCTCAAGATTGTCATCAATGTCACGAATTATTCCATCCCTTGATTCTATATCATTGTCTTCGTCAACAGCCATATCTCTCTCGCATAAACATCCTGTTAGACGAGCATTCAAGGAAAAGTAAGTATGGTCCATATATACTTCACAACCCAAAGTAAAGAATGATGAAAATGATCAAAATACCTGATGCTGCAGCAGCTTCTTCATGTTCTGAAATGAAGAGTGCACTTGATGTCTTCTTCTCAATGGAATGGAGTTCTTCATTGTTGTCAATATATTCAACATCTGGACTTCTCAGTGAGTCACAGGGAGACATTGACTCATCCATGGAAACAGACAACTCATCTGACTCTGCATCTAGAGACTTATGCAGGGTGGTGGTGGTGGTCTTCTGCAAGACTTTTGCATCACTCCAAATACCAGATGCACTCTTACTGCTGGGGATGACAATGCTAGTAGGTTTCACGAAGGTGGAAGCTGCTGGTGGTAATATGGATGTCCCAAACAATCCACCATTACCCGTAAGGCTTGAAGAACTCTTCTTGATGCAAACATTCTTCGATGTGCAGGGCTTCTATGATGTTCAAGGATGAACAAAAGTTAATACTTGCATGGATTGTTGGAAGAAAAAAAAAACTACTCCGTATATAGGAATAGAGACAAATTAGTAAAATAAGAATGAATCTTCCAAAACCCCAGAACCAAACAAGCCCGTACAGACCAAGTGTTCCTCAACTACCGTAGCATGATTTCAAGAAAACCCAAGAAAAAATAATTGAAGTATATCTTTAAATGAACAAAAACGCTTCAAATTACGTCTCATATAAACTTTCTTGTTAGGTCAGAAATCAATGGGACGTAGAAATTCAATACCTCAGCGCATATAAAAATATCCTTAATTTAGTAATTTTCTTAAGAACTTGTGATATTTAGACCAAGATTTGTAAAATCCATCTGAATGCGTCTTGACATACGCTTGGCGTTCATCACGGAACTCATCGAGAAGAGAATGGAAGAAAACTCGTATCAATGCAATAAAAGGGTAAAATTAATCATTAGAAATGGAATTCTCATGAAAGAGAGAGGGTGGGTAGAGCATACAAGGCCTGACGACTCGGAAAAGGTGCTCCGCGGCGCAACAAGAGAGCCGGTCCTCTGGTTAGTGATGTTGGACAGGGCGGGGCGTTTATGGGTGAGGCGGTGCTCTGCAGCCGCCGTGACTTTCCCATGACGGTTCTCGGGAACCGCTGCTTGCCTCTTCGCCGCTGCATTGGAAGCCGACGAAAGGCGGCGGGTTTGGGCCGTCGTCGTCATTTTCCCTGTTTTTATTTTTCGGAGTAGAAAATGGGTATATATATGGAAAGAACTCAAAGAAGAAGAGAACGCAGAATGGAGTTTATTATGGGGTAGGGATTTTATATGTCCCGAGGGACGGTGTAATTTGAGTTTGAATTCGAAATTTGAAGTGGCATCCATAGCCATAGATCTGACTGATGCTTCTTGACTTTTGGCTGAAAAGGCTCATACATTGTCCCACTAGGGGGGGGGGGGGGGGGGGGGGGGAGCCTATATGGCAAAAATTTAAATTCAAGTCTTCCCACAAATCAATACTTCCCTTATATACGTTGTGTTCTAGCCGTTCCAATACTATCATATTGAAGTAATATCAACTACTCTCTTTTTTATGTGATGTATAAAAAATGTATCCGGTGTCATCAACCTACTCTCATATCATGCAATGTAAATTAAAGTCATACATACTATCTTATCGTTCCGTTTTAATCGCAACATGTTGAATTTTACACTATTCACATGCTCTACTTTGATTACATTTTACGTTATTATTTTATGAAATTTATTTTTTCAAAAAAATATTGTTCAATTCATCTCATTACAAATTTTCAAAATCTGATTTTTAATATTTTTTTACTAATAGAATTAAAATATATTTACGATCAAAGACGTGCGTTGGCAAATGTGAAATGTTGACTGTTGCAACTAAAAAAGAACGGAGGGGGTATTATGTTTCCTATACCTCTACACAGATTAAGGATGTTTTTACTTGGACCGAAATTTGAGGGTTTGGTCTGATCTCTTTAAATATATCATGATCTGAACTGGTCTGGTATGATCTAGTAAATGTTTGGTTTCTGTGTATTTTATAACTATGGAAGTTTGGTATGGTCTGACCTGTATAAGTTTGGTCCGGTATGGTCTGAGACTGAAAACATTTCGAGTAAAAACATCAAAATTTTACGCTAAAATTTTATATTTGAAAGGAGTGCACGTAAAGTTCAGAGAAACGACTACTTTATAGGTAGATTTTATGGCACCCATAATGTACCATACCTTTGTCCCATAATGTAGATTTTATTTGAGTGTCGTTGAATTAAATAATTTAAATATATTTTTATAAAATAATTGTTTATTGGGAAAAGAGTCAAATAAATTGTTCTACTATTTTCAATGCGTCACTTAAGTCCATAAACTACAAAAGTATCACATAAGTACGTTTACTTTAAAAAAATGTTCAATTTATCCATTTAATCAAATTTTGATCTATAATAGCAGGCTTTTATATAAAAAATTATAAAAGGTTTGTTAACATTTGTAGAAATATAGATAAAATTGGGGGAAATTTCAGAATGTCAAAATCAACATTTTTTTATTTTTTGAAATTGTGTGTATATTCATCTTTTTAAAAGTTTTTACATTTTTATTTAATATTTTTTTACACTTTCACTTTTTTAGTTTCTGATTTTTTATATTTCTTAATTTAGCTTTTTAAAAATATTTCTATTTTGACATTTATATTATTTTTAGATTATTATTACGTTGTTTTTCAAGTATAAATGAAATTTTAAAATATGTATCAATAATCCTAATTTATTTATTTAAAAATAACCCGATATAGCAAGTCAAAATGTCTTGATTCATTGTGTTTTAAAAGTAAACGTAGCAAATACTTCTATCAATTGGAAATAGCAGAAGAGTCAATTTTATCATTTCTTTTTGTGATGGAATATATTTTTTAAAAATTTCCCTAACATAAATGTCAAAACCAATGTTTTGTTAGTAATAACTAGTAAACTCACCCAGGCGATGCACGGGCTGAGATTTTTTCTTTCAAATGTATGTATGCTTAATTATTCAAATTACACTATCAATTGATGACATCATCTATCTTCATGTAATACTGATATACATCAAAACATTAAGTGAAACACACTTATCATATTATGTTCAAAATGAGAGTACTAAGCATTACTTAAAAGATCAAAAACATCCAACAAATATGTTGAAACCATCACATTGTAAATATGCATATAATGTAACATAAACATTGTTGAACACTTCTTTGAATACAACATTATGAGTCTTGTCAGTGGTTCCTTCATCTTCATCAACAATTAGAATTTTTAAAATTACACGAATTGCATTTTTTAGACGAATTGTCTCTCTAAATAGGTAAAATAAGGAAGTGAAATATGCGAAAGTGTGTTATGTCATTCTTGAATTATACTTGAATCTAAATTTGTGGGGAAATGTTCAAATATGTGCTTCTACTATTTCTAATATCCAAGTATGGTCTGATCTGGTTTGTTTAAGTTTGGTTTGGTTTGTGACTGAAATAAGTCTAAGTATAAACATCTCAAGTAATATGGTGACTATGCATTTATACGAATTGCATTTTTTACACGAATTGTCCGGGTGAATTGGCAAATCAGGGGGTGTGCAAACATGTGAAAGTGTGTTATGGCATTATTAAACAAGACTCATATATGATAATTCTTCAATCGGGCCTTAACCGGCTCTATTCGATCCTTGACTGAACCTGTACGATGCACGGTTCGGCCTGATTGTACTAGGCGTCTGGGGCAATCGGGTCTTAACCGGCTCTATTCGATCCTATTAGAGCACCCGAGCGATGCACGGTTTGAAAATTTTCACGATGCAATTAATTTTAATCAAATTTAAAGTTAAAAAAAAACTTCTAATTTTACTTGAATCATTTACAATTATTCTCCGTACAATAATAAAGTTTGACGTAAAAATGAAACATATTCAGTATGATCTTTTAATGATTATTGAGTAGTTCACGATTTTTATAGACCCACAATATTCTCTATTTCAATTTTTTGTTCAACTGTCATTGTATGTAATGTGATTGTTTAACGCTCGACAGATTGATTGCTCCTGACACAACCACGTAAAATTGACAATAACTACAAATAAGTGTTTTCAACAACAAACCATGCAACACGGGACACCAACTATTTTTGATTTTATTTACATTCATGACACAATAAGTCATGTTTAGGTATTCTAGTACCCGGAATTGCAATGGCTAACGTTTTAAGGTGTTAAGAAATGCTTCGAAATTAACATCTTTTGTCCCGCACTAACTCGTGTTAAAATTAAAATCCTTCATTCTAGTAAATTCACCCTCACAATGCACAAATGTTTTAGCAAATATTTTTTTCATTTCTAAATGATTGTCCGAGTAAACATGCCATGTGCTATTAACAGTAACCCAATCTCATTAAATACAACTACGCCACCTACCTTTAAATATTTTCAATTGTTGGGAGACCGATAAACTCATTCATGAGGTTGAACACCCCGAAACCCGAATCGCCATAAACGAATTCCAAACGGTTATTGCTTACCCATTATTTGTCCCCAACATCCGATCTCCACTCCAGTCCTTCTCGACCCGGTATATCAAAAGACAACATAGATGTAACACACACCAAACACATAGACTTCTATGAATTTGATAATTTTAAGATGACCCTTTTTTTAAATAGCACAACTCTAATAAATACAACACTTTATTAAAAAAATACCCCTTCCATCAATGTCTCTTGAATTATTTCTTTTTGTCCAACCTACAATTATAAAATTACGATATGTTTTTTTTCAATCAATTTTTGGTGAAATCAATTGTTACAAAATAATACTACCAATTTGAGCAATAATATATATTTATTGAAACTTTTTTATAATATAAAAATGATATGAAAATGTTCTTGGTTAAAAGTCATTTCATAATACTATAAAAATTTTAATCTTTCATAATATTATACTAATCAAAATCATGGTCCAAATTTAAAGTTTTGGCTATATATTTTGGAACTGAAGTAGTAATGTTTTCACTAGTGACAGACTTAATTTGTATATTCACATAAATTTAATCTCCACTTCACATAAATAAGGAAAAGGAACAATATGCATATCTACCGATAACTGTAAAAAATATTCAATATTTTTTAACAACATTCATTTGCTATGCAGGTCTGGGGATGTCCTTTCTTTGGTTGACCGTTGTTTATTTAACTTGTACCTCTTTGAAATGACAATTTAATTCAGTCTGTTACATCTTAATTTGTATGTTGGAAATGTAATAATTTAATAATTAGGTATAGATTAGGATAGAATTAGGACTGGAACAGACGCAAAAATCCGATGTACGTCTCTGAAACCTTTAATTTTGTCCACCCACAATCAAAAAATTACATCTGTTTTTTTAGCAAATCGTTGTTCGCAACACCATGCTTACAAATAGTACGACAACAAATGTATAAAAGTTGCAGGCTTAAAATCTAATAGTGTGTTCTTTAGTCACATACTTTTTAATTGGATATGAAATGAACCTCATCGTATATAAGTAGGTTAACTACTTAAGTAGGTTGATGCTATACAATGGATATATAAGATTTAGCCCTAACTTCCTTTTTTGGTATGAATTAAGATTAAAAATTTCATGTTTGAGCAGGAGTAGGAACATTTAGGAACGAACAAATAACAAATTTCAAAAAGAAAAAGACATATAAGACACTGACTTAAGGTACCTCAACTTGTTGTCTTCTAAACATAAGTTCTTCACGCGTCTAGGTTTTAGATACTGCATATCCATAATAAACTTAGTGCTAAGCACTACATACTTAAAACATATTAGTTAAACCCCATTAATAATATCAAGACTTAGGCTCCTCAATCTTTACCCCCTTCATCTTCTTCATAGGCATGGTTGAAGAAAATTCTACAAACAGATCTATCTTCACTCTTCTGCATCAACTTCCAACACAATTCTCTTTTCTTTATTCAATATTTCAATTTTCAACAAAAAGCTTGTTGAATTCACCTGTTGGGAATTAAAGAAACAAAGTGTTAATTCACATACCTACCAACTGTGAGGTTTGAAATAACTTAATACATCTAGAAAATAAGAATATATTCATCTTTTTGCTTCAAGAAAATTCTCGCTTCAAGACACGGAACTCCTCCTCCTCCTATATATCACCATAAATAGTTCGGTTATCTGATACTACGTATTTTAACTTCATTCTCCTAAATATTTATGCTAAGTTAGATAAGGAATCTCTGATGCACTCGACTCTGAAACATAGAGAAAA